AGGAGGAGTAATCATGTGTGAATAATGGCCCTTTGATTCTTCCAAAGATTTGCAGTCCTCAGCTGAAAACTTTTACAGTGCAAGTGACAGGTCATATGACTTCTCTGAAAACTGATGCAAGTGTGATCAGATTCTTTTGTGTTATCTCTTTCTGTGCAGGTTTATTTAGTACATGGTGTGTATAGTTATCACCACTATATGCAGGATCGGACTGATGACAGTGGTTGGGGCTGTGCCTATAGGTCTTTGCAGACAATCTGCTCTTGGTTCAAGCACCAAGGTTACATTGACAGACCTATACCAACACACAAGGAAATTCAACAGGTATAGACCGTTTAAGGAGATTCATTATTTTATGCATATTTGTCTAGAAATATTTGTGTAGATTATTTTTTAAAGATCCAATCCATATATTTTGATTTGTGTGATATTTTTAATTTATCTGTTAAATTGAACTAGTGGTTCTGAGTTACTGTTTTTAACAAGTTTTATTATAGGAGATCTGTCTCCAAATGTTTATCACTGTTGAATGACATTATCTGTACAAATAAGACTCCTTAAAATAGTCTTTTAAATGTTTCCTTGGATTAATGTTCTTTTAGAAGCTGAGATTATGACATTTTCAGTGTTTCTGCCAGATGAAAAGAGAACGAAGAACCCAGTGTGTCATACTAAAATCAGTTTTAAAACTGACTTTTGTATTCAGTGACAGTTGGATTAGTCCCCAGATGCTATGCATGAATTTACTGACACCTTTTCAAATTTACCTTTGAGAGCAGTATGCTTTTCCTGGTTTTTGAACTCTCCTTCACTTCTTTTTCTGTTTTGAATTCAACTACATACCTGAGTGTGTTCATTTCTCTTAAGAGCACTGAAGAAAAACTGTAGACTTGGGTAACTAATACTGTGTGCCTATCCAGAAATACTGCAATTATCTTCCATCTTCTAAAAATAGTTCTTTGTGTTCTATTAGTTAACTGAACATCTTTAGCAAAGTTTAATCCAGTTCATAAAACAACTTTCATCCTACCTATCAAGGATGTGAACACTAAAGGTAAAACTGCGTTTCCTGAACATTGCTCAGACCAGATCTAAAGCTAAAAGCTCCTAAAGTCTCTGCGCTCCTGTAATATTTTTAGGCATCTAGAAGAGAGCAGTAGCCTGCAGGAGACTTTGTGGGCTTTGTATCCTGAGCAGAAAAGGACCCTCTCAAGTGTAGCATATAAGCCTCAGAACAGAGAAGAGTTTAAAATAAACCACAACTTTTGGTGTATTTCAGTGGCCTCTTTCTCAGAGCACTATTTTATGGATCCTTTTCTGAGATGCTTTGAATAGGAATCCAAGCCCTTCAGTCTATGAAGTGGCTTCTGCAGGGTCCAGATGATGCATTGTTAGGCAGCTCAGTGCTCACCATCCCAGCTTGAAGTCTGCCTGTGGACCTAGGTTTGTAGTCTGTGCTTATGGACGCTGTTCTGTGTTACTGCTTAAAGGGACATTTCCAAAACAGAACCCCAGTGAATGTATTTGATACTTATTTTCTGGTTTTGACTGGCTAGGTTCAAGACACATTTCCATAAATATAAACCAACTTTATTCACAAAAATATGGTGGAATTCACTACCATATGTTGTTGCTCTTTGTTTTTCTTCTTCATCATGATGTTGCAAAGGCACTGGTTGATGCTGGAGACAAGCCTGCAGCATTTGTTGGATCACGGCAATGGATTGGTTCAATTGAGGTACAGCTTGTTCTGAATCAGCTTTTTGGAATAACATCCAAAATATTATTTGTCAGGTAAGAATCATTAACTGTTTAGTAGCTCAGTAATTGTTAAAAAGACTGAATGCCATAAAAAGCAAATTATGATTACAGTGGTTGGGAGAACAGGAATAATTAAAGAGATAAATCCTTTAAGGGTTCTTTGTTCATAAGCCTTATATTCCCCCTTTATTTTTTGCTAAATGCTTGCAGATAAAGGTGGTGTTAAATTTCTTGCAAGCTTGGGGTTTCAGTTTCCAGTTGCTATAAATTGCTTAAGGATATGCCAACTGCCCAGTTTCATAAAGCTACAAATGTGGCTCCCATTGGGTGTGCTTAATCCTATAAATTGCCTAATGATATGCAAACTGATATGAAACTCAGCCTATTTCTTTGCATCACATTTTTAAAGTAGACAAAGAGTCTGGTAGCCACAGAGAACTGAATGCACACTGATAAATTATTGCTGTGTCCACAGAGCTAACTCCTGAGGGTTGAGGTGAATTGCTGAGCAGCAATTCTTTTTTGGGTTTGTGTGACAAATAAAACAAGGAATTTTGACATTCTGACAATCTGATCATCTTATAGACAATGAAGGACCCTACAAAGATATTTTTGGACAAAAAGAATAATGTTCAGCATTTATCAGAAGTAAAATTACCAGATTTTTATCACAGAGGCAACACCAAGCAGACTAACAAATCCCTGAACATGTTGTGATAAATAAGAGTCATGAAATAAAGAACATATACTAACATAGTGCACATGAAAATTCAAGTCAAAATACTACTCGTGTATTTAGAGTAAATTCCACTGTAAATATTCTAAATAAGCATGGTGATGGGGATTCTTAATCTTAGGGAAATAGCTCAGTTCTTAAATATCTTAATCTTTGTTTTTGTTCCAGAGCTTGTATTTGCAGATGATCCGGCTATTATTTATGATAGCTGTGACAGACTCTGCCATTAGGAAGATTTTTATTCCTGTATATAAGAATATAGAATAAATTCTTTTGTGAACTGAGTAAAATTGCCTATAGTGCTGCCACAGGGGAACACCGGTTTTTTTCAGGATTATGAAAAACCTACATCAATACCATGCTGGGAAGAAGAAAATGTCATGCATCGTTTTTAGCTGGTCACTGGCAGTGGATGACATTTTTGTTTTGGGTTTATTTCACATAGCACCTCTAACCTTTAATGGAAATAAGACTTCACAGCTGCACCAGCAACACTACTACTGGGTCCTGGATCCACTATCATAAATGCACCATTTCCCAGAATTCCAGTTTTGTATTCCATTTGCATTTAATCCATCTCTCCAGGAACTTGGGAAGTAGGCGTGCAGGCTTTCTTTAGGTTTTAAAAAAGTTAACCACTCTATGAAGAACTATAATGACAAGATATTAAATATATCTGTATTAATTTCCTTGCCTAGCTTTTGTCACCACTTTTGGGAGTACTGTCAGTCTTCTAAGAGGAATATAAGTGTCCATCAGACATATGTCTTCAGCTCCAAATCCTAGAGTATGTGCATGCACTGTGTGCACACCTTTCTCTTACATCTGGATTTCTTTTGTTAGTGGCTGGTCTACATAGTTGAAAAAGAAAGCAGGGAGAATATAACAAAGCTAAATTCAGTGTTGCTTTTGAACAGATTACTAATGTTATTTGAGATTTGTTTCTCAAAGCCAACATGGGTATGAATATTGCAATTGCTTGTGCAGTTACAGTAGAAACTTACCTTCAGAGATGTAATTATACGCACCTTTATCAAGTCCTTATTTTTGTTGTTTCTTATGAAGGTCTGTTACTTCAGACTTCCCCTTGTTGATAGATATGGCCAACCTCTTTTTCAGCCACTTGGAGGGACCTGTTGGGGTTTACCAGCTGTCCCCACTGTGGGAGATGAGCAGCAGACACTTTTATAGAGGCTGGATGACTCCAGATGCTCCACAGTGGCAACAAGGCTTACAGCAGATTCATTGGTCCAACCAGGATCTCTGAGTTGCATTAGAAAACGTTTTTCACATTGTCTCAGGAAGTTTACACAGTAATAATCCAAGTGACCTTCTAATCGGTTACCTATGCAGTTAACAAGTATAATGGATAATTAGAGAATTAAGCCTAGTGAGAATGACAGATCTGTTGTTGTTTTTCTTACCTAGCCAGGGTTCTGAACTAGCATTGCAGGGAAGAGAGCTTGCTAATCATTTCAAGACTGAGGGAACTCCAATTATGATTGGTAAGTGCTTGAATATTGAAGAAAGGCAGTGAAAGTTCATGGCCTCCATGCGCTGAATTGTATTTCAATTAGAACCCTTTCAATTTACTGTACAAGAGTTAATCAAAACTGTAGATGAATTAAAAATTATGGTTTCCCCAAGGTAGCTTCAAAAATGATACAATTCAGTCTGTCTGGTATCTTTTAATTCAGTATTACTCCCAAGCTCAGTATTAAACATGGTAACAAAAGTCAATCTAAATGGTGTTTTTATAAATTGCTGTTAAATCATAACTTGAGAGCTGACTTCTGCTCTCTAGAGGAACAGAGGATCATACAGTTCCCCAAAACTTCCCCTCACAGAAGCGTAGTGTTTCTCTTGCTTGGAAGAGAAGTGTATTATCCAAATTTTTTTTAAGACCAGTTTTAATAATCTGAAATGTTGTTAAGGTAAGTGCCACTCCTAAGAATACTGTAACTTTAATTGAACTATTTCCAAGCTGTGGTTTATAAAATTAGTAATATCGATATTATTATTTTCAGCTTTAATAAAATTAATTTTAGCAATTTTTACAATCTGTATTTGATACTCCACAATATAGTGTTACGTTCTCAAATTAGAGGTCCCACAAGTCCAGGCTTTGGTATGATGATGGTTTAGATTATATGTTAGAAAGAAGTGAGGGTGGTGAGGCACTGGAACAGGTTGCCCAGAGAAGTAGTGGATGCCCCATCCCTGGGAGTGTTCAAGGCCAGGTTGGGTGGAGCTTTGAGCAAGCTGGCATAGTAGAAGATGTCCCTGCCCATGGCAGCAGGGTTAGAACTAGAAGATATTTACGGTCCCTTCCAACCCAAAGCATTTTATGATTCTATGAAATATTCTTTGTCTTTCAGCAGCCTTTTTGTCTGAATTTCAAGAATTTAGATTTGAAAAATCTTTTAGGCTATAACTTATTTTTCCCTGTAATGCTCTCTTGTAGGTTGGTTTAATTTTTTTTGTTATTGGAGGTATGGAGATTGGCTGTTTGGAGGTGGGGTTTGGGGGTTGTTTTTAGTTGTGTTCTTTTGCAGATTTTGCAATTCCTGTCTGTTGTGTGGAGTCATTACTACAGTATTGCAGGGGCATAAACTTCTCATGTTATCTAAAAGAAACATGCAATAGTTGACCTGTGCCCATCTCATCAAAATATCCCTTTTTCCTGTTTGCAAGCTAGAGAAAGTTAGAAGTTACTACTCTGCCCCTAATATCCATTGATGTAAATTAGTAGAAAACAGCAGATAAACCTTATCCAGCAATTCTGATTTCTGTTCTAACTTTAGTCATTTTACAACCAGGAAGTTTTCCAGATTTCTTTTATACAGTTAAGTTTCTTTAAAGAAAAACTGCAAAACAGGTGTTTGAAATATTCTTGACTTCATCTGGTGAAAGTGTGGAGGATTTAACCTGCCTTGCTGACTTGGAAGAAATCTGAAAAGTAAATTCTTTACTTACTACAACTAATCTTCCCTGGTTGTAGTAAAGATATGTTATTTAATAGTGTGAAGAATCCTATGTAGGTCAGCTTCAGAATCATCTTGATAACTAAGCTAATCTGTTAGTAGAAAGTGTTGATGTATTTTTATTTAAGCCTTGCCCATTTGCCAGTCTCAGTAAAAAAAAAATTAGCAATTTGTGTTTCTCCTGTTTTAGGTGGAGGTGTTTTAGCTCACACGATATTAGGAGTGGCTTGGAATGAGATTACAGGGCAAATAAAATATCTGATTCTAGACCCGCATTACACCGGAGGAGAAGATCTGCATGTTATTTTGGAAAAGGTGAGGCTTCATGCGTATATATACACACAGATTTATGTACATACATAAATCAAGTAATGTACAGCCAAATACGAATTGGCCATGATATGGCTTCTCGGTTCCTTATGGAGGAAGTGCTGATCCCAGTTAACCTGCATACTACTATATGGTACTTACTGTCAGTTTCTGAAACTTAGTGTCTTTGTAGAAGATGTATCAGATCAGCAACTGATCTTCATTTTATCTGAAGTAACCCATCTCCCTCTTTTACCCTGTAGTGTATACAATAACTGTGTTTGGTATTTTGAATGAAACAGAAAAATCTGTTCAGCCTGTAAAATGCTGAAAATGAAGCAGAGAAGATAGCAATTTATTTTAAATTTTAAAAATTATTTAAAAAATCCAACACTAAGCATTCTCAGATCAGGCCTTGAACTGTGTTTAAAGGTCAGGTACTGAACTGTTTTAAAAATGTGGGAGAACTCTAAAGAAAAAACCTCCAAAGAGCTAAAGGGTATGTAATATTATTTCCACATTTAAAGCCACTAAAAGGGATGACACAGAGCATTACAAAACAGTAAACATAGTGTCAGAAATGTAAATTGTGAAAGTGGATAAAATCTCCTATAGGTGTTACATAAGCAATTCCTTCTCTGTTCTTTGTATTAAGTTGCAAATAACTTTTGCAAGTAACTTTTATTTAAGTGTTATATTAAGTTGCAAGTAACTTTTATTTTGAATCTCTATTCGATATCCATGTGTGGGGCCCAACAGAAAAAGCTGTTTTAAGAAACATTTTGCTGGACTGTAATTATCAAAGCTTGACATGAAAACAGAAGCAATTTCCAAAGAACGTGTAGGACCAAAGGCTGTTACAGCTACAGTTGTTGAGAATGGTCCAGGAGGATAGAATACATGCAGAACCTACTTTCTTCATCAAAAGTGGCTGGGGAGGAGCTGAGGTGGACTGCCATTTTGTAGCTATTTTTTTCAAAAACATCTCCAATAATTCTGTGGTACTCTGCAAACTTAACAGCTTTGTTAGACTGCCTTTTTTTTCTGCATAATCGGGATGAACAGCACAGTTTCTGATATTGAAAGCTCTGCTTGGGGCTGAAATATCAACTATTACCAAAGAAGGCAAGGATTCAGGATAAGAAATGGGAACTGCAAGAATGATTTTAGAATAATATTAATCTCTCTGTAGCAGCAGAAGAGGTAGTGGGAAGGGGGCATGGAATGCAAGAGATGATACTTCTAGGAACTAAGCTGGGGAGGTAGGAAGAGGGAGAGTCTCTGTAATAAATTTTCCATTAATGTGTTTCCAGGCATGTAGGAACTTTCTGAAAATTGTCATTGCATTCCATAGCTATCTGAAAAGAATTCATACAGCTTAGTAAAATGATTAGTAAAATAAATCCAATAGAAGTAGGTAAGAATACTAGAATTCATAGTAGATTTAAAAGCTATCTTGCTTTTTCTTGGACAGGGCTGGTGTGGATGGAAGGGCCCGGAGTTTTGGAACAAGGACGCCTATTATAATCTGTGCCTACCTCAACGACCAAAAGCTATTTAAATTCCTCTCTTGTGCTGGAACATGCTACGCCAGAATACTAGCTGATCTAGATAAAACTGTCCTGTTATTTATCAAAAGAATCTTTAAGTCAATCAAAACTTGAAATAGAAATAGTTGAAATAGAAACGTTGTTGGTGTAATTTAAATTAAGAAACTTTTTTTTTAAATGAAACCTCTAGAAATAAGAGTTACCTGCTGTGAACTGCATTCCTTACAAATGCATTTATTAGGCAACTAATATCTGTTCTTTTCCCTAATGCAACTTTATATTTATATAGCATTTTTTGCTATGCTAAAATCTTTACAGATTAAATGCCCAATCCTTTTATTTTAAGGATTTCTTTCATGACGAAAAGATGAACTGTCCCCTGCCTTTCAGATTCTACACAGCCAGCTGTCTTGTGCACTGTGACTCTGTTCAAAGGCATTGTTTGCTGCTGGTACTGTCAATGACGGCCTTTTGGGAGTGGGAAAAAAATGGCTATATGTACCGAATTTTATGAATTCTGCTCTCATATTTACACGGAAAAAAAAAATCAAGAGAATTAATTGTCACATGCTCATTTATTTATAGCTGTATGAATACAACTATTGGGGGGGGAACCACAACATTCTTCTGTAAGAAGTAACAATAAACAAGCTTTCCTCCTTCTCAGAAGGAGACAATGTCCCAGCATACACATCTGGCTGCTCAATGTATCATCCAGTCATGTTTCTGCAGACTTCAGATTCCCCATATTTCATGTTGGGATTACAGGCTGTTTCTTCTGGCAGCAAGGAAATAAGATCTGTCATCTGAATAAACAACAATAAGTCTGTAGCTTCTACATCAGTACACCAGTAAGAGTACCTATTTTTTTCCCCTTTGTTAAAGTAGTCGTTCCACTGGCATTCCCCATGCACTGTCCGTTTCCAAGAAGACCATAACCTTAACTACCTATGCAAGTTCATCCTTACTAGCAGGCTTCTATATCTAACTGCTATGTGTCTAAAACCATTTTCTTGGACGCTGAAAACATTTAGAAAAATATTCTGAATTGTATTAAACTAACTGTGTTACACACCATCTGATCTTCTCCTCTTCCTGCTTATGGATCTGCTGGTTTTACTTTCTTGTTTCTGTGCAGTTGGATCCTCTCTCAGCAAGCCATGTTTGTCACTTAGCAAGTAGCCACACCGTCCTTTCAGTTTCATTGTCTGAGTGTGCTGAATTGTCCTGAGGAACTTGGCACATTCCAGAAAGCCATAAGCAAGTGCAAGATCTGCTGCTGTCTGTCCACTGTTGTTGCACAAGCTGAAACACAGAGTTAACAATAACCAATTGCACTGGCATATATATTATGAGCAACCGCTGATTAAGGGGTAAATTTAGACAGATGTATAAAAAGAACTACAGAAAATCAATATCAAGAAGGTTTGTCAAGGATAGCATGGGGCTCATACAGAGGGCTGGCATTAAATACAACAATAATTATTTTAAAATAAATTTGTCATCAGACTAGGATTGGCTTATCATATCAGAAAGGCAAGAAGAAGATGAGCACAGCATTGGAATGGAAAACTAACAAGGAGAGATTATGATCAGGAATATTCTCTCAGCAGTTATTACAGAGGTATTTAACATGTAACAAAATAACAGCATATGGTCCATGCTACTTTGGTGCTTATCTCAGTTTTTAATACTCTTATGCTGTAGTCATGCTATATTTGCAGCCTTAGCATGCACATTCTGAACAAGTAGAAATACTGTGTAAAATACACATCCTTTCATGCTGTTACTGAAATTAATAAATGTAACTCAACTTACTCAATTTTGGCATCGCCAGCAACAAGGAGAGCAAGACATTCCAAACTTCCAGCTTTTGCTGCTTTATGAATTGGGGCTTCTCCAAGGCAATCCTAAAAACACAATTTACATATAGCAGTCATTTGAAGAAGGGGAATGGGATAAAGCTATCTCGTTCCTCAAAATGACTGTGTATATCAGCCTGTTGAGAGTTGAGAGAGAGTGTACTTGATAACTGCCATTAAATGTTTAGTGTATTCATCACCACAAAGTAAAAACGCTGTCCCCTGCAATACTAATTTTTTAACCTTTGCCTTCTAAAAGATAATTTACACAGAACACACTCTGTACACTGATTAACAGCATCGTCGAGCATCATTCAGGGATTGCTGTGACCAACAGCTTGCTACCAGCTCAGAGGTATAAGTAAATTAAACTTTGCAGCTAGAATCCTTATGTGTACTGGAAGTACAAAGGACAAAATTTTGGAGGAAAAATAAATAATCATTTGTGTAAAAGAATTAAGTTCTCTGGAAATCTGCATGCAGCACTGTGTGAAAACTGCATTATTATAGCAAATGAAATTGCTAACACAATATAGACAGGATTTCTAGTTCATGCTAGAGCTTACTCTAAAATAAGTGACCCCAGGTACCTCATGCCATACAACTGTTTATAAAACCTCTCTTAGATAAAAAGTATGTAAATAATATTAACTGGAATTACTAACATACCAGATTAGAAGTGGAAGAAATGAAACATGTATTTTTACCTGTTGGTTCAAATTTGCTCCTGTCTGCAGTTGCCAAAGTAGGAAAAAAGCTTCACCACCACAAGCAGCCAGGTGAGCTGGAGACTGACCAAAGGCATCTGCAGGTGCGTTCACACCGGTTCCTGCCTCAAACAGATTGCTGAAACTACCAGACTGAAATAAACAATAAATCAAAAGACAAAGAAAAAAAGGAAAAGAAAAGAAAGAACGTTACTGCCAGTTTAAGCCACAGCAGATCTAAGCACACTGCATTGTGGCAGGAAACATCCCCCTCGCAAATCGTCGGACCTTCATGTTCCTTGAAACTTCCCTTTAAAAAAAAAAAATAAACAGCTCCAAGCATGACATTTTTGGCTTTTAATCTCATAATCAGAAATACCGATCGACGGCGGCAGCGCCCCAACATTCCGAACAGTTCCAGGCAAAGTACACTTCACCCTGTTCCGTGTCTGGGCTCCCGGTAAGACAAAACAACAGACCCACCTTCCCCAAACCTCACCTCTAAACTGCAGTCCAGCATCAACATCGCCTCCCTTTGCTGAGCGCGCCGGGCTGGCGGGGCTGTGGCGGCTCCGCGGCGGCTCCGCAGCTTTCGGAGCTTTCGGAGCTCCGGGGCTGTGGCCGCCCACCCCCCTCACCAGCCGCGCGCAGGCAGCTCCGGCCGCAGCCCCCGCCCCCCGCGGCCGCGTCACGTAGGCAGCGGCAGCGCCCGCCCGGCCGCCATTGGCCGCCCCGGGGGCGCCGCGGGGCCGGGGCCGGGGCGCGCTGCCGGTGGCTGTGCGGGCAGCGGCGGGGGCGGCCATGTGGCGCGGGGCGGCTCGGCACGTCCCGCACACACTCGCAGCCGCGGGAGCGCCGTCCCGCCCGCCATCCCACCGGTGTCCGCCATCGCGCCGCTGCCACTCTCGGGGAGCCTGACACCGGCTGCGGCACCGGCCAGGAGCGAGGGTCTCCGGAAACCCCTCCTGCCGCTGGCAGCCGGGAGCCCACAGAACCGTGTACGCGTCGTACTGGTTTGCTTGGTTTTGCTGTTGCTAAGCACAGCCTCCTGTGAGGTTCTGCCATCGTACCTTGGGGTACTGCTGGATTGGGAAGGCAAAACCAAGGCAAACTTGGATCTAGGAAAGAAAGCAATAGAGGATTAATGTAGAATTTCCCCCGAAAAAAGTTCAAGTCAATATAAAGAAATCCCCTACGCAAGCTCTGCCACTAGGCCAGGGAGACTGACCCTACCTGCCACGCTCTGTGAAACCGCAGGCTCCCTTTCAGCGTACACACAGCAAGTTCATCACCAATCTCGGCAGGACTAGAACTGGTGATGGTGGAGGTGGACACAGCTACCTGTTACATCTCTGCTCAAAACACATTTGCAAGAAGCACAGATTTGATTGTCACGGACTTGAGTTCAAAATGTCCTAGACAGGGTCAGACCACGTGAGCCAAGGTCGCAAACAGGCTTTCCACCTGTAGACTTGTCTGTGCTGGAAACCAGAACCTGCCACAGCCGTACTCAAAGGCCGTTTCCATCAAAAAGAAGTGCTTGGAATCTTTTGACCATGGTGCAGTGGCATTTCATGGTGCAACCTGCCTTCCCCTCACAGAGCTGTAGTACTCGGTGCCCATGGCAGCCAGGAAAGGCAAGGGTGGAAGGGCTTAATGCCTCTGCACAGAGAAACCACAGTCGCCATCAGTGACTGCTTTGAGTTTCCAAAAACAGTTGCATAACTTCATTTTGCATGGACAGCCTTTGCAAAGATTATGTTTGAAAGCAACTGCCTTTCCTTTCCATGCTGTAAAATCCAATTTGACAGAAGATTCAATTAGTACTAATCATGCTTCACAATTAAAAGACTGAAGACCAGAGCATACTAACCCAGTGTCCAAAGGTACACGATTCTGTTTCCTTAGCACTACAGTATTTTCTTATCTGTCAGATGCCTACGTGTTTTTATGGAAGTTAACATTACATTAAAAAACCAGTAATTTATTTAAAAAAATATTATTAATTGCATGGTTTTGATAAACAGAATTAGAGGAAAAGAAGCCTAACAGGCTTCTACCCTTTAGGGTACATATAGTTCTGAAATGAATGCAGAAACATGATGACAATTACCTCTTGTTTCGCCTTTGGAAAAGAAAATATAAATTACTTAAGTAGTGGAACATGAGCGTATACAGCATCACTTTTAAAGGTGCAGAATTCAGGTAGATAGGCGATGTATCAATTCAGCAGAATTATTTCAGTAAGTGATAGATTTTACCTCTCCTTTCATATGGAAAGAAATACACCTGTGTAATTACAAAATGTTGTGGGGTTTTTTTTCCCCTGAACAGCTAGCCAAGAAAATTAGTGAACAAACAAAGAAAATCCCTACACTTCTAACTATGCATTGTTAGGGAATAATATGCCTCTGCACAGATGCCCAAAATCCACAGTAATTTTTTATGCAATTACAAAGACTCTTCTGAAAACACACATATCCAGAATTAGTTTAAGACTAAATAGTCTTGGATTGCCCAAGAAGTTTGGACTTTTTTTTTTTTTAAGATCTTTCCTCCCCTACATTACCTCAACAATTTAGAGGTTTCAAGCTGCACCCAAGGAATCATATCTTTCCAGCCTAACCACCTATACAAACTGTTTTATCCAGTCAGGCACAACTCTCTTCAAATTGCTGCTATTAATTAGTTCTTGAGCTTCGGGTCACATTTTGCACACTGCATTAGTGCCTACAGAACTTTTCTGCCTCTGAATAACTGGTATGTGTATTGGTTATAAACACAGAAGCAACAATTCTCATCTATTTTGTATAGCCCAATCCAAGTGCCACTTAAGAACAAGGTTTCCTGGCTACAGTTGCTCTGGAAAAAAACTTGCTAAAAATTCCTCTGCACTTTGTATCTCAAACCACACATCTGGCTCAGGTATCAAGTAAATGAAATTGGAAAAAATGGTTCTAATAAATGTATGTAAGCATTGGATAAACCAAGGTGTACTGGTGAATCTCAAACCCTTCAGCATTACAAGCAGATGCGCAGCCCAATGTTAATTATTTTTGCTGAAAGGCAGTGTTGCTTTCACAAACTGTTCTTCACTCTGCCTGTTAAATCAAGTAATTTGTTGGTGCTTTAAAAGAAAAAGTTTATTTTCCTGTAGGTCTCTTAGGCTGTATCATATACGCAAAATTAATCAGGATGAATTTTAGGCGTTTTTTGGTACTTAAAGTCAGTTGGGACTGTTGGAAAACGTGATGTAGAGCCTACAGGTTTAACCACACAAATCTGGAAGCATCACTCTCCTGTTTTGACTGTTGCCTCTGTCCCTGTTACTATAGAAACAGATTGCACTGCCAAAAATGGAAGGATGATAATCATCTGGAAAAAAAGGGGGGAAAAAAAGATGGGAAAGCAGCTAAAGATTATTTTGAAAGCACTCTTGCAACATTTTGGTATTATTTCCCTTTCTTTAAGAGAGACAGCCAGAAGCGATCAACAGAAGTGAAAGCAACACCTTACATTTCAGGAGAAATAGCATCAAACAGCATTTTCCCTCAATTATCCTTTTACATTTTGTAGTATCTATATAGGGAAAACAAAGTACATTACAACAAACAGCTTCTGATTCCTGGAAGTGCTGAAGTCCCATTTGCTAGACTGAAGTTTCATGTTCTGGTGCCTTTTTCACGAAATTGAATTCAGAGTTTCTGCTCCTTTTGCCTATAGCCCCATTCTGCAGAGCAGTTTGGGCTTCTGCGTTTAATTTCGGACAGGATGGGCAGGAAGAAGGAAAGGTCCGGTGTGTGCCCAAACCGCAGCGTGTCCTGTCACTTATTCCCACAGTTTGGCATTGGACAACGGCCGGAGGTGGAGCAAAGACCAAACGGAAAGTGCCATCGTTACAGTCCCTGCTTTCCTCTTTCTGCCTCAAAGGCCGTGGGACCCCAGCCCCAGCCATGGAGCGGTGCCAGGTGCCGCCACAGGCCGGGCTGGGCCGCGGGGGGCCCCGGGTCCGCAGCGGGGGACGCTCCGGCGGCGCGGGGAGCTCGGACCCAGCGAGGGCCGCGGCGGCGCCCCTGAGACACCGAGCCCCGGCCGGGCGGGACCGGGCTCCCCCCGCCCGGCGGGCTCGGCCCCAGCCCCCCTCGGGCGCGGGGCTCCCGGGAGGCTTCGACCGCCGCTGCTGGATGGCGCTGCACAGCGAGCGGCTGCCGCCGGACTGCAGCGCCCAGCCCGCCCCCGGCACGCCAGGTACCGCTCCCAGCCCGCCCCGGGGTACCAGGTACTGCTCCCACTGCTCCCAGCCCGCCCCCGGCATGCCAAGTACTGCTTCACCTTCACCGCTTCCACCTGTTCAGGTTCGCTTTTAAGCTCTTCCAGGACAAACTTCAAGCTCACAAGTTTGTGAACAGGCTGTATTCACTGAATGCTTCCTTCAGGCTTATAGTGAACTTTTGCTTTTTATAACACATCCCTCTCTCTCTTCTAATCTTAGTCTTTTAAAGAATGTATTAAAAAGGGGACCCGGCCACTTCAGACCTTAGGTGTGCTCACTGATGCTGTTCCATCGCTTTGGGGACAAAACCAAATGCATGTCTATTTTTAAGGAGATGACCGCATCTACGCTGCACTGTTTGCAAAACTGAAGGAGTTGCTGGTGAGGAGGGCATCAGATGGAGATCCTCCAGCACCTTTTCTGGACGGACAACGGTACTATGAACAGGTTGTGCTTTCCTTCTCCTAAGTAAATATTACAAAGTTGACAATTTTCAATACCATTTCAGTGGGAAAAGAGACATCTTTAAAAAAAAAACCTACAAGAGGTTCCTATACCTGTTTGTATCCCATTAAAATCCCACCAGGTGTTCCCCCTAAGTTTTTTCTGCACTTTCCCCAAGCATCTAGTGATGTCTTCCAGTTCCCTCTCAGGTCTCCTTAGGATCAGATGAAAAAGAAGCAGCCTATCCTTACAGTTAACTTTCAAGCCAAGTTGTTTTTTTTGGCCAGCTGACTGGCCAAACACAATGCACTGTGTTTTCAGTTACCAGGGGTACTGATCCCTGACCTAGACACAGCTTTTGATCTTTGTTCCCCACCTAGCCACCAGTTTTGATGAAACTTGTTGAAACATGTTATCTTTGAGATTGCTGTCCCTGCCCACTTCAGCTAAAATTGGTTGTCCATATCTTTGAAAGCAAATACTCAGGGAACAGTGTAAGACTGGCTGGCAGGTAAACTTAAACCTCAGCTTCTTGTGAAAATTAGAACTTAGTTCAGGAACACGAAAAAGAATGTAGTACAAGTACTGATTCAGGTATTTTCCAGTGTGACGTGCATGGATTCAGTACTGTTTACACTGCAGCAGTGGCACAGTGTAAATCAGTCTCAGGGTTTGCAGCAAGAAGAGAATTAACTCACTCAGGGTTTCTGCTTTCTGGGCCCTGTCCTTAATGTTTTCATTAATGAATTACCTGATTTTGGCATGATCAAGACTAACTTATGGAGCATAAGACCTGTCCGTTTCTTGACAAGCTGGCTTGGATGTCCATGATATATATATATATACATCCCTAAATTTATTCTTTGAGCCAGTTTTAATGTTCAGATTTTTTTTAATATATGTCTGCAGTGCCTAAAAATGCACGTGCTCATAGTACTGCACTTTTATATGTTAGAAAAAAACACTGCCTAATCAGAGCCATATGTCTCCTTCTTATAGCACTAAATTCTCAGGAAATGTAAGAATAAGTGTACCTTCAGTACTTCTTTTTCTGATATTCACAACAGCTAGTTGTGAAAAAGAACTGTGTTTTTTTTTCCTCCCGAGTTCTTTAAAAAAACAAAGCCCACACAGTCATAATGGGTAGGTCCCAAGACAATTAGTGCTTTACACAACAGCTTGGACAGTATTAACAAGGGACAATTTATCATTGTGATGACATTTGACTTACTGTTGAACTATTGTTTGGTTTTAAGCTTTTGCAGTCTGACACTGTTTTATCAAAACATACAGAAAATTTGAAGGAAAAATATAGAGAAGAACATTTTAATTTCAATATTGTTTTTACTTAGTATGCATGCATAAAAATATTTTAGTAAGGACACAAGGCTCAGTTAACTGTTACACTGCAGTTGTTTAACAGTATTTTTAAATATAGTTTCTTCTTAATGCAGAAGCAAATACTCCCTAAGATTCTTGCTTAGAAATGAAAGTATCTCTGCTGCTGCAGTTGATGCCTTTGTAAGAAATGTGGGGCAGACAGATGGGTCTGTAAAAGTCTTAGACATCCGAGTTTATTAGTCTTTGTGAAACCAACCCTTAGTTGAGATGTAAAAGCAGACCTAAGTTAAAGGATGTCAGATAGATAGGGCAGGGACTCTGAATTAGATTTTATCTCCTTAGACTAAAAAGATGGTGTTTTGGAAGAGGGCAGGAAAGTTTTTCAGAATGTCTTTTGGTTATCCAACTTTCTTGTGGCTGTTGACTTACTCTGTTTCTGTTTTCTGCCAGTTCTATGGTTCAAATTTTTTGGTTTTTGTTCATGAGAGAAATGCTATAGGTTGAAAAATTGTAAGGCTGTATATATTGGAGAGTTAAGCTGTTGTATTAGTCTTCATTCTGTGTAGTTCATTGTTTGATTTGTCTTTCCCAGGGCTTGTATGAAGAAGCATTAACGCAATTTAAAAAAATTGAGGATACAGATTTTCAAGCCATGTTTCAGCTTGGTGTAATGTATTATGATGGACTAGGCACTGAAAAAGACCCTGTGAGTAATCTAGCTGCACACTTTTTACTTTTCTTCTAATATTAGCTGATAATTACTAAGAGCTTCTTTGTAAGCATGATTGTTTAGTTTAAAATAAACAGCTTTTTGATTTAGAATTAGTTTCATAAAGTATAGATGTTTACAGAGCATCGTTAAAGAGACAGGGTTCTGGGTTGAGGAAGTTCTCAAAAATAGCTATAATAAAATAGATGTATCTGAAAAATACGGTAATTTGTATTTTAAAATGTAACTTCTAAGGGCTTGATTGTACATTGTGTGGAAGCTACATTTAAGTATTGCTATTAATTTGTTACTTTTTAATAAGGAGTTCATATAAATGAAAATAAAGTGCACAAAAATGGAAATCAAACAATTATATTTCAAAACATAAAACATCTGTTCCACAAAGACTTTTTTAAAGTACTTTCTATTCTTTTAGCACAGATGCTAAAGATGATTGTGCTTCTGTCAGTGGTTGACAGTAATATTTTTAAATTAGACAAATGAAAAACTACATTTGCAAGAAGTTGAGGAATTCAAACTGAATAATTATATTACAAAAAAGGAAGACAAAGGAATGATTTGCCATCAAGAGTTAATTTATCAGTAAAGATGATCTTAAAGAGTGGCATGAGGAAAGAATACAAGCAGGATGAAAGAAAGGGTAAATTACAAGACAGGAGGCAAAAAAAAAAAATTAACCAAACAGTATATTAACAAATGGGACTCTTGCCTGGTGCTTACAGGATTGTCAGCAGAATGGAAAATATTCTGCTGGGGTTTAGAGGTGGTTCATTTGTTCTGTATGCCTGCATGATTACCACATGTATTTACTTGCAAATAAACATTTTAGCAGAATTTCTTCCTTTTTTGTGTATTACAATATGGAAGTTGAATAACTGAGAAACCTTTTATAAAGCACTGTTTCTAGTGTATTTAAACAGGGTGTCCATGCCAAATCCTAGCAGTGTAAATCTTGATTAGAAAACACTTTTGAGGTGCAGTTGTTCATATGCAATGTTCTCCATTTGTTTATTTAACGTTATCAGGTTTTGTCCTTTATGAATCTAAGGTATTTTAAATGAAGGGACTTGAAAGTGTACTACGTATCACTTTACCTTCTGTTAAGACTGTTTTATGATTTCAGATACATTATGCAATATGAAAAAGTTCAAAGAATTCATAAATTGGAAATGTTGCAAGTTTAGGATGCAACATGCATTTATGTAAGCAAAATAATATTTTTTAGAAAAATTTTATCAGTGAAGAAGAGTAATATAATACCAGATGAACATTTATGAGGAAATGTTTCACATTAAAAATATGTTGGGGTCAAAGATCTAGGGGATATTAACTAAAGATCAGTTCTGCTTTGGTATGAACTATTTTCCTACCAGTATGCCTCAGCCTTTCTTCAGAGTGGAAAAATTACCTTTCTTGCAGAAGTTAGTGTGTTCTCAGATTCTTTATTTCATCCTCTTCACAGTCTGAACATAATAACTTCAATGGCTCAATTTTAGGAAAGGGCAGTGGAATACATGAATAAAATACTCAACTCTGATTCTCCAAAAGCAAGACACCTGAAGGTTGCAGCTGCATACAATCTTGGCAGGGCGTATTATGAAGGATGTGGTGTTAAGCATTCAACGGAAGAGGCTGAAAGGTAAGGGCAGTCCGTGATTTTCCTGACAAATTATAAGCTTCTGTGTTACTTAAACTTTGTTGTCCCCATTTTCTTAGGTTGTGGCTTATTGCTGCAGACAATGGAAATCCAAAAGCAAGTGTAAAGGCTCAGAGTACTTTAGGAATGCTTTATTCTATGCCAGTTCTAAAAGATCTGAAGGAGGTAAAGTCCACTTGTACCTTTTGAAATGAAAATGAGTCCAAATTAATTTTTAATTTTATGGAAATATTACAGTGATATATTTGATTCTGAAAGATGTATTTTAAGTAGTTAAGCAACATTTAGCATTATCCATTTAAGCCTGTATGAACAGATGGCCAGAATCCCTCATTTTGACTCACTTGATGCTTCTAGCCAAGATTTATTTATATTTTTTTTTAGTGAGAGTATCAGGAAGAATGATAGAATGGATTAAAGTTTTGTCACCTTTGCTAACCGTCAGAAATCAAGCAGGTGTCACTGATTGACAGCTCTGACAGTAAATGGAGCAGGTTTAAAAGCCTTACAAGGATTCTGCTTTCTTTTATGTATAAACACTTCTTACAGTTTGGTATAAATATTTTATGGAAACAGTATACAAGGAAAGCAGCTAAAGTAAATATATACTGCAACTTTGTGTCTCATTTAGGCCTTTTTCTGGCATTCAGAAGCATGTGGCAATGGAAATCTGGAATCACAGGGAGCACTTGGCATTATGTATCTCTATGGACAAGGTATACGTCAAAACACTAAAGCTGCTTTGAAGTGCTTGAGAGAAGCAGCAGAACGTGGAAACATCTATGCTCAAGGCCATCTTGTAGAATATTATTACACTAAAAAATTTTACTCAAAAGCTGCTGACCTAGCCAAAAGGTGAAGTTAATTTTGTTTTATTTTTCATTATGGTTCATGCAAGACCACATAATCCAGATTAAAATTATTAATAAATTAATGCTCTTGTCTTTCAAACTCAAGAGATCTTTGAGATAATGAATTGCAAAACCTCACCTTTAAAGATGGAATAGCCAATCACAAAATGAATACTATAAGGTTCTCAATTACTCAGTATGGTTAAATTTTTCTTTCTGATCCTGTAAAGCAAAACAGCCTTGAACTAGAATCCAAAGTAGATGTCCACACGCAAGCCTGCCTTTCTTGTCTCTTCAGTCCACGATCTCCTCTAGGCTCCTGCCTTCACTATTCCCTTTAAACGCCTACAATCATAGAATTTTCAGGTTGGAAGGGACCTTACAGATCACCTGGTCCAACATTTCTTGGCAAAAGCACAGTCTAGACAAGATGGCCCAGTGCCCTGTTCAGCTGAATCTTAAAAGTGTCCAATGTTGGGGAATCTTACCATTTCCCTTTACCTGCTTTTCCATTTCTGCTATGCTCTCTCTTGGTTTTGAGCAGGCTCAGAAGCTCACAGTTAAGCCAAGGGGGTCTCTTGTCTCACATACTTTTCTTACCCTTAAAGGGAATGAATGATTTTTGTTCTTCCAGGAGAGCATTCTTGAAAACCTTGTCTTAGTACTAACTCTCAGTGAGCTCAGCAGGATCCCAGATCCACAATATTGTCATCACTGCAGCCAAAGCTATCACTAACTGAGATATTACAAAGCAGATTTTCTTGGTTTGTGAGGAACAGATCCAGCAGTGCCTCATTCCTAGCTGGTGCATCTGACATTCGTACAAGGAAGCAGGCCTCTACTGCTCCACGCCAGGAGCTGGATGGATGTTTTGGGAGTTGCTGTATTCTTCCATCTAATGTCTGGGTAGTTAAAGTCACCATAAGAACCAGGTTCTGTTACCCAAAACTTATTAAGTGACCCAAATATTGCCTTGTTGGTCTCATTGTCTTGGTTTGGAGGTTGGTAGCAGATGCCTGATGCAAGATGCCTCTTGGAAATGACCCCTCTGATCTTGACCCAGAAACATTTGATAAGGCTTCTAAAATTGTCATAGTTGACTTCTATACATTCAAGGTCTCCTTAACACAGAGCATGATTCCTCCTCCTCTTCTTCTTCCCTTCCTGTCTTTACAAAGCAGCTTAGAGCCATCCTTCATGATGCTCCTGCCAGTGAGTTGTTCCACTATGTTTCAGTTATTCCTGATTGCATAGCTTTCTGACTGGGTGCAGAGCTCCAGTTCCTCCTGTTTGTTCCCCAGGCTGTGTGCACTGTATACATACACTTGAGGTGGTTGGTCTTCTGGTTCTCATCTTAGGAGTCAACTAAAGAATATTTGTTGCTGCTCTGGTTGGCTTGATTTATTCCCCATTTGGTTGCAGTGGCACAAGTGCTACCACTTTGAGTCCAAAGTGCCCCCAAGTCCTTCTCTTTAAAGCTTGCCTCACCAGGTTAGCTAAAGATTCCCTTGCCTCTTTAGCCAAGCAGATCCCATCCCTCCCTAACAGGCTGTAGTCAAAGAATGCCCTGTTGTCATAAAATCCAAAACAGTCATGACAGGACCAGCCAGAAAGCCAGAAGTTTATTTGTATTATATGTCTGGTTTTGGCCACATCCTTCCACCCAACTGGTAAAATGGAAGAAAAGGTAACCTGGCACAAATACTTTTTGTGTACAACTCCAGGCCTTTGTAGTTTTCCTTGATTCTGTGGTGTCACTTGCCCACATGAGAGAGTAGCAAAGGGTCTGTGGCACACTCTTGAAAGCTGTGGCACCCTCCCAGCAACATCTTGGACCTCAGCTCCTGGACAGCCGCACACCCCTCGTGAGTTCCCCTCAGGCTGGCAGATGGGAGCCTCAGTGCCCCTTCATAGTCACCCAAGCACTCCACATTGATTTTTGTGGTATCCACTGTGAACTCCTGGTAGAGTTTCTCCTTGCAGACTTTGCTTTTGGGTATCTAGAGCAGTTAAAGCTTCAGATCTGACTTTGGTTGCAATGCTGTAGGGTGGTAAAGTCCTGCTTTTGTGGATCACCAGGGTCCAAGGTGTCTCATTCTCTGTGGTGTCCGCCACAGGAGCATGATTCTGAAACCACTTATCTGTCTCAGCATTTCTAATACAGAGAACACAAGTATTCTTCTACTCTCCACCTACCCCATCTCAATATAATTTCTATCCACTGCCTCCCATCCATCACTTCCTTGCTCTGTGGCTCAGTGTGCTTTGGTCTCGTTCAGGAAATGCAAGCATTGATACTGGTGGGATCCTGCAGTAAGCACTCTCAGCAGCACTGCCTGGGACTTAGAAGCAGCTGCTGCACACAGTGCCAAGTTATCACCCTTGAGCTCTTCATCAGTTGCTGCTTATGAGGATGCATACTGTACAGGCGCTTTTAAGCCTGTACCACAGAACAGGCATCTGCAGGCAAATGGTTTCTGGTGATTATCTTCTTGCCTAAAGGTACCAGTCTGAGCCCCAGTTAGGCAGCACTGACTGGCCTTTTCACAGGCAGTCACTGTGGGACTCACTGCTCTACCTACACACTCCGCAGTGGCTTGTGTATTGAACAAACAGCGGCTTTTGTGATAGGCTGCAGTATTTAAAATAGTCTGTATCATGTTTCTGTATCTTGAACTAGTCAGGGAGAACAAGAGCAATGTTGGTGCCAGTTCTACAGCTGATAAACAGCACATTTCTGTGACAAACCTCCAGAGCTCAGTGTATAAATTCAATCTGTCAATCAGATTATTGATTTGCTGGAAATAAGCTGCAGATAGACAGACTACTTGCACAAACTGCACACAATAGCATTCACGCCTCTTGGGGTATGTTTATGAAACTGCTGCTGCCTGGCAATAAACAAATAACAACTTACCATCTTAAAGAAGCTGCACTCTATATATGCCACCACATATACAGCTCTGGTAATTCATAAATTCAGCTATGAATGCTGTTTGCTATACTCTCTGCTGGAAGGGATTGTTTCTCTCTGAATTGCTGCTTTTCTTTCTTTTGCACTGTAAGTAGACTGATAGCTATTCAGTCTAATCTAGCCTGTCTCGCTTGGAATGAATCCCCTCCAGTCAATGCTGCACGGTAGATTATTCAGACAAGTAAACTGTGCATTTCATCAGCTGCAATTGTGATTGCACAAAATAGCAATGAAATCCCACAGTACAGTCAGAAGTGACAATTTCTGAACCAAAAGATACTGCCACCATTAGAATTGCAGTCGGCCTTGAGGCAAAAATCTCAGCAGTTCAACCAGTAGTATCAAGTACCAATACCTTTTCTGCTAAAATTTGTCCTTCTATGTTCATACCAACTGCATAGTTTGTTACATTATGTACAAGCATACAAACATTATGTTATTATGTACAGTATAACCTTGCCTAATATTTGAAGTCTGGATTAGCTACTGATACTTCACTTCAAATAATTTAGTTATCCCATATGGTTCTACTTACCCATTTCTGCGGTATGTTCTTGAAGTCAGCTGTGATGAAAGTGTCTTTGCCTAACTTGAGTGATATTGTTATCTGCATCAGCATCCTGTGGTGTATCTTTTGGAAAGGAAGCAAAAATGCTGTGCATCAGGAGAGATGAGATAATTGGTTACTGTTGTCATATTTGAATGTTCTGGCTACTAAGAACAGTTGTGTTACTGTATTTGTTAATAGGACCAAACTAGGTGGGAGAATGTTGCTCTCAACACATTCAAGTGATTTAGCAGGCACTGGCTTGAAGAGGGCTAATTGGGAACAATATCCTAGTAAGGACTTGGAATTTTAGAATTGTCGAATCATGGAATGATTTGGGTTGACCCTTTACAGATCATCTGGTGGCAGCCCCCTTGCTGTGGGCAGGGACATCTTCTACCAGATGAGGTTGCTGAATTACAACTGCCTTTCTTCCACATATAATTTCCATGAAATAATTTAATAGGAACAATTAGAGTAAAATACGTTGCCTTTTATAACCAGTATGACTATAATGAATGTGACTTCAAAAGTTATATATTTGTTTGCTGTTTAATATCACCGTATTCAAATAAGACTAACTTTAAATCAAATACCGAATAGAAAAATCCTCATAAGAGGCTGAATACATGTAAATTGCAGCTTACTTTGGATAATACCAGAAATGGAAAGGAGGCATTGTCAAGGTTATATATGGTCAACTTTAATTATAGCTTGAACTAGCATTATCTAACCTAATGCTCTAAATTCCACAATAGGACCACAGAAAACAATGACATCAATATGCTAGCCAAGAAAGCTGATTGCCATCCAACATATGTAGCCAAGGGGGTTGCTATGGCTGCTTTCTACTTGGCTAGATGCCTCCAGCTTGGCCGAGGCATAAAGCAAGATCAAGATGCTGCTAAAAAATACTATTCTAAGGTAAGTTGAGAAAGTCTTACAGACTAATTTATATCTCATGAAACTGAGCGATACCTTGGATTTGTGTCTTTCAACTTGCTGTTCTGTTAAAAAGTCCAGCATTATTTGTATTAAAATCTGTGCAAGAAAAGGTACAGTGATAACGTATATTGAAAACTACTAAAAATTGTCTTGAAAGGATGCTATCTGGCCACTTGCTTAAGCAAACAAAGCATTCTACAAAACCAACAAAAAAAATCCATGGTAATCACCACAGCAAAGAGCTTGGTAACTTGAAAGATAAATTAGCTATAACAATTTGAATAATTCTATCCCAAATCAATTTGCTTTCTGTCATTCTCTAAAACTGAAACATCATTACTTTTCCTCTACTTTAGATTCTCTAACAATTATAACCTTCATTAACAATACTTAAATTGGCCATAACTGGTTCTCATGCTTATTTTTATAATTACATTTTTAGCAATAACTGAGGATCTACTGCTTTCCCTGTTCCCTATACCCAGGGAAAAAAAAGTCACATTTTTTCAACGTTTAATCTTGGAGTAAGATTTATTGCTTGAGGAAAAATATCAGTAATTGCCTCTAGAAGATGAATCTGCTCAGTAATATCTGTGATGCCTAAAGGTACATCAAGGCTAGGTGATTATATCAACTGAAGGGAGCAGAGAAAGTTTGCATCTGTGCTTTAGAGAGACTATGATTTCTGTAGTGACCATTTGTTTCTGCAAGTAGAATACTTTGATTTCCAGCTTGATGCAATCTAAACAAATGGAGAGTTATGTAAATGATAAATTATCAAATAATTTTTGTGGCTCCTGACTCAGGGAAGCCACTGGTATGAGGGTCTTAGCAAGGCAGGTGATCTTCTGAATACAGACATTTTAAACATTTTTGTTCTTCTGCTGTGAAGTGTTTTAGAGGATAGGATAAGGAAAGGAATCTAAGCTGAGGTGTTATGAACACTGTAGCATTATTCCTAGCTACATCTTAAGGCACCAAAGAGGTCCATCAGGATTAAATTGCTGCATGGCTTTGTGGGAGCCATTGTCTCCTTAAGTCTAGCAAAACCACCACTACTGAAAGAAGATTACAACTTTTACTCATTATTCACTAGCTGTACATCTGATACTGATATGAATGTCACTACCTTCTCAGTATAAAAAGAGATACTTCCTATTGACTGGTGTCATGCATCTCTAAATCAACAGTAAAAGAAAAGGAACATAATATAAACAAGGAAGCTCCCTGAAACAGTAACTTTAGAACAAATAAGAGTTGCGGGTGTGTGCAGTTTCTTTTTGCCTGGAAAATTCTCATGTTAACTGTACAATTACACCTACTTAAAGTTAATTTTTTTTTTTTTAATTAACTTCCCTGCTGTGGTTTTGGCATACCTTTCATAGACTCAGTCAGTTTTGAAAGAGGTGAGAAACAGAAGATGGGCACCTCCTAAGGGTACTGAAATAGAGGATGGAACTGAATGAAACTGATCCAGTCTGTAAGCAGATTTATATTTCTGACTGAAGCCAGCACAGGCCATGCCAACAGAATTTAAAAAAATAAACCCAAGATTAACACTATAGTCAAGTATGCTAATTTTAAATTTTATTGTAGCTATAAACCAGAACACTTGTATTCTTTGTTTTCAAAGGCATGCCACCTGGATCCTGCTGTTGCCTCTGACCTTGAAGTGGCAGCTAATCTTGGGAGAATTTAGCACTTCCTTTAACTATGACTGGTATATAAATGTATTTCCTACAGTAAATCATCATTAATCTCCAGCAATTACAGACTGTGCCTTACTTACTGCTTGTTTTCAACTTTCTCTAAATTCTTATTTAAAGCAATTTCCTGATTCATTTTATCTAAAATAAAGAAAAAAGCTCACTCTTTCTTTAACTGAGATGAAGCCAAGGCAGACTTTTTAAAATAGTATTAAAGACTTAAAGTTTTATTAAGGACATTTATCTGGGAACAGATATATTTTCTTTATGTCATACTGCTATATAGCACATGAATCAAGCCAAAACCAAATAAAAATAGTTTTTTCCTTTCTGCATATGTAGTGTTTCTTTTAATATTCTGAAAAGTTTCAACCCAAACTTGTCTAGTTTTCACATACAGTCCATTCCCAGGCTACGGCCATTTTTAAACCTTATCTTTGTTAGCGGTATGTATACTTTCTTTCACATGCTTTCTAATGCATCTAAATCTACTTAAGCGTCTTTACACATTTTACTCTTGGATTGCAGAGATTTGAAGTTGGAAACTGGCCTGTAAGACACTAAGCTTTACAGTTCAAGCCATGCCAGCTTGTAAAACTAGAAAATACTACTTACAGAACTATGGGAAAAAACCTCCAAACATGAGTAAGGAAATCTTCAATATACATTCTCAGCATGAAGCCTGTTTTCCTTAATCCTTCATATTGCATTTACATTGCCTCTGTTTGTGTTAGAAATTGTTGAAAACCTTTTGGCTAGGAGTATGTCTGAGCAATGTCATGCTCAGTCTTTTATCAAAAGATACTTTGATTAACCACTAGTAAAACTTAATTGCTATGGTAAGCTTGCACATTTCTAAATACCCACTTACGTATAAAACTTTTTAAGTGCCGAATTTGGCTTGCTTCTTAGGACTGTGCCATGACCTGAAAACTTTCCTGAATCTGTTGGATCAGAAAGCTAGATGTTACTAAATTGTTGATTAAATGTAGAATACAGATAGCGTGTACCTTACAATACAGCCAATTTTAACTGCAAGTAGTTTTTCTAAGAGCACAACTGTACTGAATTGAAAAGACAGTAATGAGTGTCACCTTGGGATTTCTGATGATGTTTAATTATTTAGATGTGCATTAAGACCATATTTACATATTTTTACATAAATTAAAAAAATAACCAAAAGCAAAAAACCACTGAAGACAGTTTCCTTTCCTGGTATAAAATAAGGGAAATATCTGAAGGTTGTTTGAAAGTGGGGTATTTGAATAAAAGAGCCCTGAGTAATATCAGGGAAGTTATTAGAATGGTTTAATTAAATGTCTGCTTGATCATTCATAGAAGCAATTCATAAGCAGTGATCTCTGAACTAACATTTAACACAGGCATTCTGTTAGGACATACCAGTTTACAATACATAATTTTGACACAGACTTGAAAGCAATGTAGATATTTCTTATGAAACTAGTGCTGTCAAACTCATTCATTAGTTGTCAGTACAGCCTCACTATCAAATACTGCAATCCAGTTGTGATATTTATTGCTTACAAATGCTTCAAACTACAGGAAATCTTTGGTAAAAACAAAATTGATAAAATTTTCACAATAGCTTTACATGTAGTATTGCACAACAAGGCTTTTTCAATACACAAGAAAAAAAAGAGGAATGCTCAGATCCTCAGTGAGGAGATTAGAACTGTACAACATTCATTAGTTTTCCACTATAAGCAAAATTTCTTTTCATAAATGTTTAAAATATTTTCTGGTTTCTTTCAGCATATATGAACATTTATTTTTCAATCTATATTTGAAACAGAAGAGTAGTCAAATAGAACAATTTAAATAAAAATTGGCAGCTATACAGCATTGTTTTGTCTACCCTACTACAGCATCAGATCTTTTCAAGTCTGTTTACTTCACAAAAAACTCAAGAGGAAAGAAAAAATGCTAAAAATAATCATAGTCCTCAGCCCTCTATGGAAAAGAGGAAAATAAGTTTCATGTCTATTATCGAACATAGACATTTCTCTAGTGGTCCAGTTGTGCAGATTCAAACCTAAGTGGCATTAAGCTGCTCTAAATGAGCTCTCAGCTCAGGACACAGCTCAGTTAGCAGCAGTTCCAGCAAAACCTGAAAAAGAGAAACAAGTTAAGATGATGCAGGTGCCAACCAAATGAGAATTTGTGCTTCCCTTCTGTCATGTTTAGAGCATCAGAGAAAACAGAAGCATGTACATTTGATTCTATTCATCATTCATGCAACTACTTTCCTTTCATCCTGAAGTTAGCACGTGCCCTACAGAAAACATGGGAAATGTCTTAAGGCTGAAAGGAGGCAAGTGCAAAGGGCAGCTGCTTTCAGATGGGGATTTCCCACCCAGTATAAACTGTCGCTGTTCTGCCAAAGACTCTGCAGCATGATAAGCAAGCACCAGAGCCTGCATCTCATGCATCTCCTTAACAGGCTGCATCCTCTCCAGTGCTAAGGCTGCACTGTGTGATGATCTAGTGTCCAAAATGAGCCAGAAGAGACTGACTGAGCGTGAAGGCATTATACTTAGATCCAGCTGCATGCTCCAACATAGTCCCACCAACGGTTGAGGAGTGGGACTTTTGGAGTCCTGTCATGTCCTAACTACAAGCCAGTCCTGGAGCCCTCCTCCCCTAGGATTCTCCAAGATATATTTATTTTTCTAAGCTTTATGAAGAAATTAGTTTGCACCTTATGAAGTCAGGAAAGTTGGATGTGGTAGAGGATCTCTTTTAGATAAAAGCAATGCTGCTGTTAAACAGCCTTTTGTTATTTAAACTTGGGGGATCAAACCAAGTACATTTTTCTCACTGATTTTAATAACAAAAGAAGTTACTTGCACACAGACCAGTAGTTCAAACTAAATCACTGGCTTTAATACTGAATGAATAGAGCTCAGCAATTAACAAGATCATGAAGTTAGAAAGCTACTTTTCTGGTTACTTACATAAAGTAGATGCTTGTTAGCCTTCCTTTCTTGCAATGCATTGAACACTTTCACTACACCATGACGGGCATTTTGTTGTCCAACAAGATTCTGCAGAGTATCTGCAACAAACATTACTTCAGCTTATATTGCTTTACTCCTGCTAGGCAAAACCTCCAATCTATACTTCTACCCAGAATCACAGAATCAACCCCATCAGGATTGGAAAAGACTTTCAAGATCATCTGGTTCAACCATAAGGACCCATAAAGGAGGGGAAACAAAGCCACTGCACTTCAGTGGCCCTCGGTTACAAGAT